AGAGGCGCCGAGCCTGGGCTTGGCTGTGCGGCCCTCAGCGGCGCGGGGCCCTCGCCCAGACCCACGGGGCTGTGCGGAGCCTGACCGGCGGCCACCCGCGTCCGGGAGCCTGCAAGCATGTGAAGACCGATCCATTTCAGCCTGGGCAGGGTGGAGACCCCTGCTCACGTCTAACTCCTGTCTTACCAAGATGAAGACACTCAGGAGGCATCACGGAGCGCGCCCCTGCCCCAGGCTCTGAGATGGGACCTGTGGTTCAAGCTGAGGACAGGGAGCCAGAAGGCAGGAACACCAGGGCTGGTCCCTGTCCTCCCCAGGGAAGGGGAAGGCAGCTCCCTAACCCCTGCCCTGGGGCCGGGGTCGGAGTCCCCCCCCACCCCTCCAGGCTTTGTTATGAAAACACCCTTTTACTCCAGAGTAAACTTCCTTTTGATTGAGAAAGGTGCAGAACAATTTTCCCTTCCAGCCTGGGGGACTTAGGCCCAAAAATGTAGGTGAGGTGCCTGCGAGCCTCTGGTTGTTAGGGTACTGGTCTGTTTCTGGTCTTTGGGACTAGCTTCTAGGCTGCCCAACCTACACCTTCTGGGGCCTTCTGAGGCCTTTCCTCTAACAGCCCTTCCCACTGCCTTCAGAGCAACCAGCCACTGCAGAAGCTCTGCTCTTGATGTTTCCTTCTTTTCTTTTCTTTCTTTCTTTCTTCTTTTCTTTCTTTCTTTTTGTGGGTCGTGGGGCTTGAACTCTCGGCCTGGGTGCTGTCCCTCAGCTCTTCAGCTCAAGGCAAGTGCTCTACCACTTGAGCCACAGCACCACTTCCAGACTTTTCTGTTTATGGGTGCTGAGGAATCAAACCCAGGGCCTCATGCATGCCAGGCAAGCACTCGACCACTGAGCCACCTTCCCACCCCTCTTAATGTTTTCAAGTGCAAAAAATTGGCCCTTTCCTTACTCATCTCTTCTCCAAAGATGCTCAACTGTGCAGCTCCAGCCAAGAACAGGGTCTCTGGTACTTCCTTTGGGAGTTTCTTCCCAGTATGCTTAACTTTCCTAGATGCCTGGTCTCTGGTTCATTTCCAAGTGGCTGGGTGACCGTTGTGAGGACCAGCCACCATTGCTAGGGACCACAGCCCTACCCTTCCCCAGACAGGTCTTGCTTTGGGGAATCTTCCTTGTGGGTAGAGAACTCCTGGGCTGACTTCTGTCCTTGGAATACAGCAAGGAGGGAGACTGGAACCGAAGACAGCGTGAAACAGCAGATTTACCTCCGTGGAAGCTCATCTTCATAGCTGAATTTTCCTGAGGCTTGCCAGGACCCACTGGAACTTGTGTGATAATCCTGCGACCTACACACTGGCTTCTCTATGCAGTTCCTGGCCTACATGGCATGCTCTGAATTGGATTTATGCACACTCATTTCTACCCCAAACCTGGAGAGGAATAGGAGCCAAAATGTCTAGGACTATGGCTCCAGCCAGCCACATGTTCTTGCAACATTTTGAACAGTAGTATGACTGAAGAACTAGATTATACATCTTTTGTGTGCCAGTTCTGGGCTTTGAATTCAGGGCCTGGGCACTGTCTCTGAACTTTTGTACTCAACTCTAGAGCTCTGTCCTTGAGCCACAGCTCCACTTCCAGCTTTTTTGGTGGCTAACTAGAGATACAAGTCTCACAAACTTTCTTGCTTATGCTGGCTTTGAACTGAGATCCTTAGATCTCAGCCTCCTGAGTAGCTAGGATTACAGGTGTGAGCCACTTGTGGGTAGCTGGATTTTACATCTTACTTTGTAATTTCAACCCAAGATTAGGTCCTTCCTTGTGCCTCTGCATGGACTGGGCAGGGAGGAGAAGTTCTACCCTCTGAAAATACTTTGCAAATGATTTAACTTCTCTAGGCCTCATTTGTCCCCTCAGTGGAATGAAGGAAGGGCTTCCTTCTGTGATTTAATATGTTTTGGCTTCTCAAGACCAGAAAGAAATCAACATCACCAAAAGAGAAAAAAGAAGGACTGAGAATGTGGCTTAGTGGTGGAGCACTTGCCTAGCATGTATGAAGCACTGGGTTCCATTCCTCAGTACCACATACACAGAAAAAGCTGGAAGTGGCACTGTAGCTCAAGAGGTAGAGTACTAGCCTTGAGCCAAAGAAGCTCAGTGCCCAGGCCCTGAGTTCAAGCCCCAAGACTTTCAAAAACAATTTTTTTTTTGTTGGTCATGGGGCTTGAACTCTGGGCCTGGGCGCTGTCCCTCAGCTCTTCAGCTCAAGGCGAGCGCTCTACCACTTGAGCTACAGCGCTACTTCCGGTTTTCTGGTGGTTTATTGGAGATAGGAGTCTCACAGTCTCTCCTGCCCAGGCTGGCTTTGAACCTCGATCCTCAGATCTCAGCCTCCTGAGTAGCTAGGATTACAGGCGTGAGCCACCAGCACCCGGCCTTTCAAAAAAAAATTTTTTAAAGCCAGGCTCATACCTGCAATCCTAGCTAATCAGGAGACTAAGATTTGAGGATCATAGTTTGAAGCCAGCCCTGACAGGAAAGTCCATGAGACTCTTACCTCCATTTAACCACCAAAAGATCAGAAGTAGAGCTCTGGCTCAAATACTATAGCACTAGCCTTGAACAAAAGAAGCTCAGGGACAGCACTTAGGCCCTGGGTTCTAGCACCAGTACTAGAAAAAAGAAAGGGGAGAGAAAGAAGGAAAGAAAGAAAGAGAATGAGAGAAAGAATGAGAGAGAGTGCTAGAGACAGAGGGAGGGAAGGAGGAAGGAAAGAGGGAGGAAGAGAAGGGTCACAGTGAGGAGGGAAAGAGAGCCATCCTTCTCTGGCCACCTCAGAGTTCCTGACTCCTGAGTCTGACCTGAAACTGAGAAGTGGCTTCCTGCCCAAGCCACCGGCTGGGACTAGGGGCCAGACCTTGGGAACCATGCAGCAACACGTTGAGGATAAAAAGCCACATTCCGGCTGGGAAGGTGGCTCAAGCAGTAGAGCACTTGCCTTGAGCTGAAGAGCTGAGGGACAGCGCCCAGGCCCAGAGTTCAGGCCCCATGACCGGACCCCCCCCCCAAAAAAAGCCACATTCTGAAATGGTTGAGCAGATAGATGGGAGGCTCTGGGGCTTGGAAGGTCATCTAAACCAGCCTACCTTCAGATGCCTTGGTATGAAAATGAGTGAAAGTTTACCTCACCAGCATTTTGAGGCTCTGTTACTTGACCCCTAAGTTGTTGCACCAGTGCTTCTGGGTTGCATCTAACAGCATCTAGTTGAGAAGACAAGCCTCTGCCTCAGTAGAGGGGTAGTGTGGAATCAGCCACGTGGGCGGCTGAGGTGCC